GAGACAGACACCAAAGCTCCGCTTTCAGGATCCGTTCTTTTAATGGTAAAAATCTCCTTTCTCACAGAAAAACAAAGTACAACATTTCTCAGAAGGACTGCTAAGAATCTGCAGATACCCAAGCACCGCGACAAAGAGAACACCAGAAACATTAACAAAAATAGCATCAATAGAAAAATACAAGGTTCTCTTTTGCAGCAGAATGTGGTTCCACCGCGGGGTGATGCAATTCGGGGGGGTGTGTGAGCCTCCTCCCCGCAGTGCGGCGCTATCGCATCACAGGTGAGGGGTATGCAACGGAACACATGGGTCCATATTCCCAGCACAACCTGCGCTGCATCATTCAGCCGTATGTAGCTGAAGAATCAGCATAGGGTTCTGGACAGGTTCACGTGTGAGAAGAGTGACAGGTTGGGGCCAGACTGAGGGATTGTGGGTAAAGCACTTATAGGTAGCTAAAAGACACCCTGAATGACTTCAGCATGGTGCTCGCATGATCATGTGACCGATTATGCTGAGAGAAACAGAACTGAAGGTGCCCACATCTGATTGCTGATAGCCTATCTCAGGTCCTGTATATGCTAGCAGAATATGGTCCTGCCAGACTGTGGTGCCGATGGATTGTAGGGGTTAATCCCACTGTCCGTTCTGGGGAGCAGGAACCATGATGCCTATATGTACTGAGCTGAAGAGGATGGGTGGAGACAGAATTGTGACCCATTCACCATGCAAACCTGCTCCCCTGGCTCCGCCCCCAAGCTGCCCAGCCCACCTCCTTCCATAGGCTGTGATTGGTCCCCGCATCCTGCCATTAATCAGACGCTGTGCAAACACCACTCCGTCAGAGGAGAGCCCAGGGCCATGCAACCCCCCACCCCCCATCGCATGCTTCTATCGCTTTTGCGGGACCTGCAGAATTCCCTGCCCAAGTGTCACAGCAAATAGCATAGAGCGCCTCACAGGGGGAAACACTGACCCCTTATGAAGAGGTCCCCAGCGGCCCCAGTCACGGGAGGCCGTAAAGACGCCCCGCTCGGTCCTACAACGCACACTGCACTTCCTCTTTTCAGCCCTTTTGCAATTCAGTCTTTCTACAGCGAGTATCTGTGAAAGGAAAGTATCTGAAGTGTTGGGGAAAAAAAGTCACAACTTTAAACACACATAAAACAAAAAAAAACCAAACACTAGCACTTCCCTTGGCAGCGCTGAACACTGGGGACATCTCGGGGGGTCATGACACTGTACAGATGAGATGACAGCTACGTGTCCCTCAATACGCAGCCACAGCTTTGCTAATTCAGCTGGCCCGGGCCCAAGCCTGACCCACGACACATATCAGACACGTCTCCCCTTCGGCGCCGTCGTCTGTTTTTGGGCATTAAGCTAAATCTTTGGTATTTAAACGCGACGTCATTCTCGTTTTTTGTTTTTTTTTGTCTTCCCTCCATCGATGTCGCTGCTCAGGTCACACGCGGCAGGTGAGGCGGGATGCAAGCCGGGAGCCCCCCCCCCCCCCAGGGGAACGGGGCGGTGGGGGGGATTTTGCGTGGTCTCTGCCAGCCCCCAGCACGCGCGGACAGTAGCGCGTTCCAAAACCCTGTGCCTGCAGCACTCAAGACAGGCAGCATGACCAGGCTGAGTGTGGAACTGGGACTCTGCTCCTTGCCCTTCCCATGATGCTTCAGGGCCACGCAACTGTTCATGCAGCCTATTGTGTCTGCCCTCTGTGCCCATGTGCAGGGCTCAGTTACAGGGCATCCAGGTGGAATAAGAGTGGTGGTGCCACCCAAAGACAGGCTGGACCTGGGCGATGCAGTAGTTGCTGAAGTTGCCATCGGCCACGTAGGGTGCAGGCTGGTAGTAGCAGGTGACGTTGGCCACGTTGGGGATGGCGTTCTGCTCAGCCAGGACGTGCACCGCCAGCATGGCGATGAGGCTGAGGGTCTGCCGCCTCTCGTGTCCCATCAGGCACACCGTACTCTCGTTCACCACACTGTGCAGCGTCATCAGATAGTCGTACTTGCGCTCCTCCAGGCCAACAAAGTGGTTCTGCAGGTAGGACTCCAGCTTGCGCCGCTGCTCGCCGATGTCTGAGAAGTCGATGAAGAAGCGCGAGCACATGTAGCGCTGCAGCGACTTCATCGCCGCCTCGGAGGCCGCGCGGAAGCCCCTCACCAGCAGGTGGCAGTATTTCAGCAGGCCGCCCCCTCGGATCTCCTCTGGGTTGCGTGTGCAGATGACCTTGTGGCGCAGGTGCTCCAGCGCCGCCTGGAAGTCCCCGTAGACGCTCTCGGCAACGACGGTGGGGTGCAGCGTCTCCGACATGGCGTTCTCCGAGCAGTCGTGGAAGAGGAGTAAGGAGTCCAGCTTGATCTGGAAGGAGTCCACGCTGAACTCGAACTGGCGACGCAGGGAGCCCACAAACTTGAGCTCCACGTTCTTGCCGTGGTTGTTGGAGAGTGAGATTAGACTCCACCGGTCCGTGTCCGTGCAGACCTTCACCATCTTCTGCACATAGGCCTCCTGGGGGGGGGGAGATAAGCAGTTCTTCATGCTATTACTGCTCCGATTGATTTAGACGAGGAATGATTAAAAACTCAGGCAAGTGTTTACACTGAGAAAAAAATCAACTTATTTTTCCTGGTTACAAACGGGAGACTTAGCCAACGACAGCAGCGTCGTTTACAAGTTGACTTTTATGGATGATTAATGATCAGCTTTGCAGAACTTTACTAAGGAACGCATCAAGCTGAAAGCGCTGTTTTAATTTGTGCCCGATGGCATCATTCTCTTACGTGTTATTCGCGGTGTCATTTCGTGCATTAAATCATTATATCAGTAGCGGCTAAAATTAATTTAATTGCAAGATTATGTCTCTCCCGGTTTAATTTATTTTTCCTACATCTAAATGCGCGATATTACAAATTATGTTAATTGATGTAATTATGTAACTGAATCCTTGGAATCGCCTTCTTCCGTTTGGCATAAGGACCAATTGCTGGCTTACCTGCGTAGATTTTGAGGATCCACTTTAAATAGGTTTATTCAATCCTCTCAATGGTAGAAAAACATAATTTTACTAACAGAAACCCTTCTAAATATATCTCAGGAATGCCTAACGGGCACGAGACTTGGGTCGGCACTGTCATCCGGGAAATGTAACTTTATGCTCTTTACTAATATGATGTAATGAGTGATCAAACCCCAGAAAACCATTTTAAAGAAACGTGTACCTTCAGCGTTAGGGACGTTATTTTCTTCTTGTTCACGCCTTCGGGTAGGAAGTCCAGCAAGCAGTCCAGAACAATGTCCTTGATCACCTGAAACTCGGCTTCACCTTTCAAGTCCGCGCAGAAGATGAGGTCCAAGTCTTTGTAGCCCAAGCCGCTGTCCTCATGAAGAACGTGGCTCGCAGCAGACCCGTTCAACCTCACATCTCGGACACTGATCTTCTTGTCCTCCATCCGACTCCTGACTTTCTTAACAATTTGCTGGGGTTTCATCTCCAGGGTGGGGAAGTTGCCCCGGCCGTGGATGGGAATAGTTTCTGTCAGGATAGAGTCCAGGCGCCGAACCTGCTCCCAGTTCAGCACACTGGAGTTCCTGCTGTCTTTCTCAAGTCTTTCTCTATCAGGGCGCCTGACATCGTCTTCGGCCATCCTGACAAAATGCAATCTGCAGACACAAACGATTCTATCTATCTCGTCCCGGTACCGGTTTGCTCTCGGCGCGGCGGAGCAATGCTGACTTTATCCACATCGGTTAATCTGCGCCACTGCCGCCGTCTTAATTCACTGTCTTAAATCTAAGCATGCTTTAAGTGACTGCGCTCGTCCTAAGGCGTCTTCGGAGGAGAAGTCCTTACCGATCTGCGGATCTCCGCATCCTGCCTACTGCTGTAGCAGGGCTTATCTGGAGGTCCGCCCGCGCCTCCATCGCCCCAAGGCACGCCTATCAATTTGCATGCACGCTCGGTGGCTTTTGGCAGCTTCTGCGCATGAGTCTCCGCATAAGATCCTTGCCAAACTTCTCCGGACTTAAGCTTCAGATAAAATGAAGGTTTAGATGGGGTTATATCCGAAAAAAAGAGAATATCCTGCCAAAATTTCCATGCTCATTTTGACTACACATAAACTGGAGTTAATTTGCAAGGTGTTGCGTGCTTTATTATTTGTTAACTTTTGCTGGTCTAATAGCATCTAGCTAACCCCTTCTCAGGCTATCTGGAAACTTCTATTAGAATTCTGTCCCTGTTCTATCTATTTAAAAAGGGTGGTGCAATTAAAACTTTTGTCGACAATTTCTAAGTCCAAAGCATTCCTGATATTCTACAGACTTGGATTCGGGATGAATTTACTGTATTATACCATAAAAGTGCATAAACACTTGAGAGGCTGTTTTAACTTTATTACAATATTCATAAAACATGTCATAAATGTAACAGTATATGTGCAGAACATTTGATAATGTGTGAGATGCCCCTCCCTTCACAGGCCGTGTGGATTACAGCTGAGAGTTCTGTACATTAACACTGCTCCCTAGAGGCTACACATGGACTTGCAGGGCGGTGTAGAACATCACTCCATTCCAGGGGTCTCCAACTCCGGTCCTGGAGAGCTACTATCCAGTAGGTTTTCAATCCTACCTGGCTTCTGATGAGCCACACCTGCTCTCAGGTAAATACCAGGAACAGGTATGGCTCATCCGAAGCCATGTAGGATAGAAAACCTACTGGTTAGTAGCTCTCCAGGACTAGAGTTGGAGACCCCTGCTCCATTCTGATCTCTGTATTTCCATACATTTGCATCTTACATATACAGCTTGTTCTGAGGAGGACATTTTCTCCTTCAGGATGGAGGTCTACAGAGACCAGAACTGAGAAGGTGGAGGTTCTAAGGGGCAAAGCATGGAGCAGGAAGGGGGTGGTAGTGAAAAAGCAGAGAAGCCTGCAGTGGGAGTAGAGTGTTGGAGGCTGCCTGGGTTGGGAGGCACGGATACACGTCACCCCCAATCCATCAGTCTGCACAAATCCCGACGTCACTGCGGCCTGACATCCCTTAAAGCCAGATTATCCCAATTATTCAAGCACTACCTTAGCCTGGAAACCAGCCTCCACCCAGCAGCCCTCGCTCAGGCTCCCCTCCCAGGCTCGGTGGCTGCCAGGCCTGGCCTGGACACTTCGCACTAGGGAGCACCCGTCTGGATCCCAACACCGATCCCACATTCCTCGGCTGCCTTCACAATGAACGCAGTTTGCAAATGCGCTTTGCAGGCAGCGCATTAAGACCTGCTGGCTGCACTTGCATATGCCACGCCTCCTCTTCCCTCTGCTCTGGAATTGTTTCCATAGATATGGGATATCAGCCTTTCCCCTGGAGCGCCTGAGGTCAGGTGATCAGGTGGACGGCCTGTGGCCCCTCCCCATACCCGGGTCGGTGAATGGACACACATACTGGTGTCCTCGCATGCACCTATCCGCTCATGTAGGTGGGTCCCCTTTCGAGAGTTTGTTGGGCATCATCTGGAACGTCCACCCCCAAGGCCTTGATCTGCAGAATTACTAAAGGCTCTTCCTGGCTCGAATAAGCCTTGGGTTCCTAGGGACTGGCAGGAGAATCAATCCCATAAGAAGAGGACAGAGCACTAGCCATGCTGAGCTGCACCACACCAAAAAGTGGCAAAAAGTGCTGAATTCACCACCAACCACATGCACCGTAAGAACTTCATTCCCATTCAGCCGGAGGGTGCTGGAGGCATCATGACCTGCAGGGTAAGTTGCAGCAGAAGGCATTTGATGCGTGTCCCAGGACTTAATTAATTAGTCCCCTTAATTGTGAGATTAGATTCACAGACGCTGGTTGGTGCTTCATCACTATTCCCCTCAGAACATGAGGAACATGAGGGTGTGAATCCAGCCTCAATGTTATGGACACACCTCCATCCCCCACATCTCCTTGGTGTGAACGTGACGAAGCAAGACTACATTACGGAAACACCTCGGCCATCTGTTTGCCACGCTTCCTAACGGCGCAGCGATGGTCTCCACATTCGCGGGGAAGGCCAAGGAAACCAGCAGGTCTGCACCCCTGTGGTTCCCAGCGGGGTGCAATCAGGCAAACAATTCTTGAATATATTGTTGAGTACATAATGTACCACTTTTAATATTTTGCCTTAAGAGCAAGACAGTGACCCCTGGGTGCAAAGTGTAACCAATTTCAGTGGGAGCCGTGGCTGAAGATTATCTGATATGTGATAGCGTAGCTTGTCATGAATTTCGTACTAACACAACCACTACCGATTTTAGCTGCAGATTTCACCTTCAACGTATCAATGATTGCGACAGACTAGAGCGGCGAGTTAGATGTGGGCGGATGAGTTACCTACTGACAGCTGTGCTACACTCACTCACCTTCTCCAGAACATATATTTAACAAGTTTTCTCACTCTGACCACTAATGTCCAGTTCTGGGAAGCTCTACCTCTTCTCTAGGCACTGGGCCCAGAGCTTAACAACCCCAAAAAAATATCACTGAAAGACGGAGACGTTTGCCTTAAAGACTAGCTGCGCTAGGGGAAGCGTACGCATGCACAGGACACAGCTGAGAGCGGCACTCAACAGACCAACTTCCTGCACGATCATGACAATGTGTAATCAACAGAGCTAAAATAAAACACAAAGGTCATGGTGTTTTTTTTTTAGGCCAGTTTGTGTTGCTGGAGCGCCAGCAGAGACACGTGGGACCCAGTTACGTTTGGGACGTGATCACAGAATGGAAGGAGAATATGACTCCAACTGAAGACAGCAACGGGATGGAAAATCGTTTATGTTTAGGAATGAGGGACCGAGGAGCACAGCTCTTCATCTGGATGTGCGCATCAGCATTCCAGGGGATTCTTAAGGAATCCTGTTGCCATGCACCTAAGGAGATGTAGGGTTGAGGGTTACCTTCTGAGGAGGAAGCTGTATGAAGGTCCTCCGTATGCTCCAGGTGGCCGGTGCAGAAACAATTAAGACACTCAAACACTCAACACCATGATGCCTGCTACCTTCTCCACCCAGTGTCCACCTCCACTTCATCTACAGGGGACTATGATTCGGCTGGATCACTTCACTCCGTTCTGTCTCGCCATTCATCAGGAGCAAAGGCATCACAGGAAACTAGCCCCGCCCTCCTCGAGGGGTTTTGCCTTTGACGCAACAAAGCCAAAGAGCGGAAAGGTAACCCCCCTCCTCTACCACTGCCCCCCCCGGCAGGGTCTTAGGCTGCTAAATGGGATTGATGGGCCAGCACGGGCTAACCCGTGGCCCAACTGTAAGGACAGGCATGATCGGAGGGTTCATCTAAGGAGAGAAATAAGTAAACCAGTTAGCATGCGAGGCTTTGGCACCCCCTCTCTCTAAAACGAAAGTGACAGATGTCACATAGATGACAAAACGAACGATGAGGACAAATAAGACAAGGAGCAAGACAAATGGTATTTTGGAGAAACCGTGTTTGGCGAGGAGGTCTTTCGCCAACAACAACACCATTCATGATGAACTACCGCAGAGGCAACAGCGACCCCACAGAACACCCGCCTCACTATCAGTGTGTAACGTGCAGACACGAGTAACCCAGATATGCCGTCGCTCCAGATAAACACAGCCCACAATGAAGAAGCTTCCTTCGAGCTAATTTCACAATCAGCCTATGGCTAAGGACCAAATGACAAGCTCTGATAACGGATGGAGGTCAACTTCGAAAGGATGATGCAGCTTGTGAGAGGCAAGCAGATGACAAACCAGCACCGTGATGAGCATCGTCCGGGGGACAAAGCACCTCCAGTTCCTGGAGTGATGCTGCAGCAGGTGCTGAGGAGGATTAGGTGAGGGCTGTGATCCACCGGCTGGTGCTCAGAGGAGAGCTAGGTCGGCCGTGTTGAGCAAGACAAGCTAACGGCTTGCAGAATAAATAGGCAAAAGTGCAAGATAAATAATCAGGATGACATCAGCCGTATGATGATAAGAACCAGCAAATACACACAGCAACAACCGCTTAGTAGAAGGTCCCTGGCCGTGAGAAGACAGGCCACTAGCAGAGAGCGGCTTCTGCCAGGAGCCGGACATATTAATTCCGGCCCGATTTCATGTGCTGCTCCGCAGATTAGGCATCTGTGTCTGTGATCAGAAGGTTGGCAGTTTGAACCCTGTTTACAGCAGAATAGTCCCTTGTCAGTTGGGCACTTAACCAAGGCCCTCAATGCCTAAGGCTGACCCTGCACTAGGACCTCAGGCTTTGCTCTCGACTGAACTTTGCGCTTAACTTACAAAGCACTGGATGGCTTTGCAACCAGAATATCTTAGATCTACTGGTCTCATACAACCCTCCCTGCCTGCTTCAATCTCAAGGAGCAGGATATCTGTTAGTACCTAGAGCAGAAAGAACTATGGACCATTCGACATGGCTCTGCAGCTTCCAGTAAGATTCAGGCTCACTCTCAGTATTCAAGACTAAAAAACACACTTGCTTAGGTTTCCTTATGGGCACTCTAGGTTTAGCTCTAGGTAGCTGCTCACCAGAGGTGGATAGTTCAGGTCCATAAAGTAAAAATCCAGACCAAGATTTTGTATCAGCCAACCAGTTGGGTATAGAGGCACAATCACCAAGTATGCAGCCGTTTGGTTGAAACAACTTGGTCTGGATTTTTACTTTCTGAACCTGAACTATCCACCTCTGCTACTCACTCCCAGTAGTGTAAGGTGTAAAGCTGGGTGGGGATCGGTGCCATTTGGCTTTAGATGAGCTGAACTGTCAGTGTTGTCACTCTAGCTTCACACCCCCTTGTGGAATTGGAGTGCTGACGGTCAGGGACCACCCCCCCCCTCCCCATGCCTGTGTTCCCACTTGCCTCTCCCTCCTACTTACGCTGCCATAGCCATATCAGCACTCACCTATCAGTTAGCACTGTAGTCTTCCCTACTCTGGCTAATGTACTTTTGTACCCCCCACCCCTCCTGGGGATGTGCTGCCTGGAGACTCAAAAATCAAGATATCCTGTCTACCCTGCAACGCCCTACTACCGGCGAAGTCCTTCCTGTCTGCCCTGCTGCCAGTGATTCTGCATTTACACTCGGTCTTAATCTGATGTGTACAAATCAGGACTTTGTTAATTTGACTTCCTCTGCTGGCCCCAGGAAAACATGCTCCCCACTTTGAGTCTGGTTCCTCCTAAGGATATTATATATATATATATATACACA